ACCACTACATACATATATACACATACAAATTACACAACTACATACATACACAAATACATACATACATACATACTTATACTCCTTAGTTAAGTAAAATGCACGAAAAATATTGAAATATTTGCATTTTTATTGAAGGGATCTCGAGGGAAGGTTTCTATGGGTCAATTTCTAGCACTATCAAAAATATGTATAATTATATTAATATCGAAACATTGAACACTAATTTCGCATGGAAGCGTCAAGAGCAACAACATCAAGAGCTGGCAAACAGGTATTGAAACCTTTTTGGAGATGTATTTTGAAGGTTCTCTTAATACTAGCTGAAACCAGCCTTGAGCTCTGATTCGTGAAACTGATATGCTTACAATGAGATTTGCATAAACTAGTTTTAATTTTAATATGATTTCACGTCACAAATTATACTTAGTTATTCTATATTCAATAAACGAGTCTTGCGCTTTTTCTTGATTTATAGCTAAACTTGACTTGCAAGTCTTGTAAATCAAGCAACATTGTGTGTGCAAACGAGTCTGAATGCTCTAGTCGGGCATGCCCGACTGGGAGATGCCTGCCACCTGCATTCCATATAACCATTATTAAGGTGTCCATTTATATAGTTCTCCCATCAACCCAAAAGTACCCCTAAAAATAACTAAATAATCATAACAGCAATAATATAGTAAATTTGATTTTTCTACCATTTTATTTACTCGTATTTGTATATTCATGTGATTTATACTAAAATGTATACGCATCGTCTGTTCTTTGAGTTTCAGTGTTTTGTAAATTGTGTTTTACCAAGTGTTTGCATTTTGTTGTTTTAACAACGGTCCACAATATGTTTGATTAGTTATATAGCATATAGCATATATTCATATATAGATATAAATATATACCACGGCATCTATGCACATAATATGTTTCCTTTTTTTTTTTTTAGTTATGTAAACGAGTACTAAATGTCTTCAACTTTATTCGGTATTTTGTGTTTTTTTTTATCGTTTTTCTTTTGTTTTGTATATATAAATTTTGGAACAATTACAACACAATATTTCAATAGTATTCAACTACAAATGTAATTATCATTTATGTTTACTTAAACAAACGTTTTCATTAATTCAAAAATTCACTTCTTAAACGTAGCTATTTCTTTTTCTCAGTGTATTCTCTGTGTATGCTGTGTGTGTGTCTGTGTGTTTGTGAACATGTGTCTCAAGTAACAATAAACAAAACAAAACAAAATTTTATCAAATTAAAACAAAGGCATAAAAGCAGGAGAACTGAAGTGCATTGAAATAAATCTGTATGTAATCTGATCATTGTCAATAGTATTTAAATGGATGCTGATTTATTCGTATAATTAGTATTGTGTTTCTTTATTTCTTTATTATTATATATATGTAATATACCATATGTATATATATATATATAGATATATGCATACATATGTGTGCGTGCATTGCGCTTGGAAATTAACATTTCGAGTGCTCCCAACTGAACAGCAAAATGCACTTTGCTTACAATTAGCGCATTTCCAAAAAAAAAAAAAAATAAATAAATAAATCACTGAAAATAAAGGTGAGGATTTCAGCCGATAAGTCAGCTCGACTTACCTAGTCGAAACAGGCTGACATCTAAATGTTAAAGTTAACAGTTACTGAGTAACAGCAATGCGAGTGGCACTGTTAAGTGTTGCAGTCTTTGAGGCTTAACATGAGATGGTTAATGTTAACAGTGACTGTTATTGAAACGTACTCGTACTGTTTCGCCTGTAAGGCAGTTTACTCAATATATATGTATACATGTACATGTATATACATATGGTATATATATATGTTTTACAGATATGTTTGTCCTTTATTTATGCATTTTGTTAAATTTTGTTTTGCCTTTCTATGTGAGCTTAACTTGATGTAAAATCTTTTTGTGTCAAAAACGTAAAAGTAAAAGTAGAAGCAAAAGCCAAACTTAGTTATAACAGATATATTACGTACATTTGCAGATCATACACGTATCAATTGAATGTAGGATAGTTATTGAATATATGTGTTTAAATTTATTGTGCGCAATTAACTAATACGTTAAGTTTATATCGAGATTTACTTGAACATACATATTCAATAGAACATTTACTAAAATGTTGTACAATTCAATTATAAATTTTGAATTATAGAGAGAGAGAGAGAGAGTGAGAGAGAAAAGAGAGCAGTATCTGTAAAGGAATGTGCGCTCTGAAAATACAAATGGCATTTAAATAGAGAATGTTAATACTGAAAAAGGAACTTTAGATGATCTATTGGAATTTGAGCTCTATCGAGCAACAGCTTAAAGACTCTTTTGCTTTGATTTGGGAAATGTTCTAGTTTGGCACCTTCAATTATAAACGAATTTTGTGACATTAACTGAATAGAGCTTGAGTTGAACCGAGAGGGAGAAAGAGAGAGGGAGAGTTAAATACAATTGGCACAACATCTTAATAAATGTCTATGTCTATATGTATGCATACTGATTGTATATTTGTGACACTCAGTTTATATTTAACTAGAACTATATAAGTAGATGTATATTCCATATGGTCTTGTCATGAAGTGCAAATCAATGGAAGCACGTTTGCTGCATTAGAATACAATTCGGTAAATTACATAAAATAAATGACTTTAGTTGTACAATGTTTAACAAAAATAAAATCAAAAATGAAAAAAATTTATATATATAGAAAACACACATATTAAAAAAAAAAGTACTAAAAAAACAATGCTTAGGAATTAATAAAAACATATGCATGTGTATAAATTATACAATGTAAATTGAATTAATTATTGCACTTGGAAAACAGCTCGAACTTAAATACACATATTCATAAAATTTGCTTCATTTTGTTGTTTGCATTTCTCTTGTTGTTTCAGCTTCTTCTAGTTTAAGTTTGACATGCTGCTAAAAAATCGCTGGATCGCAGATCCATTTGCCTTGCAGCTGTACGTAAGTAATTGATGCGCTTTATACATATATCAATATCAATATATATTCATAGCATAGATATATCTATTGTGTATGTGTGTGTGTGTGTGTGTGAGTGTTTATATGCATTTCGCACATATCATATCGACTACTTCGTTAAATGGGATTAACCGAATATCGTTTTTGGAATATCGTAAGTTATTGGAGTCCTGCAATTCATTGCATATCTCGAGGTTCTGGTTCGCACTATTTGAAATAGTTAAGGGTTTTTTATCATTTTAGTTTTTCGTTTTTTTTTTTTTTTTTTTTTTTTTTTTTTTTTTTGTTTGAAATAACATTTTGGCAACGCTTGTTACATGTTTGAACATTATTAAAAACTTTCTTGGGTTGATTTTCGCACTTCGTTATCGTAAAAGTTTATCTATAAATTGTTTGGGTATGCTTGCTATATAATTTTAGAATAGAATTACAATGGGTATTTCTATTGTATTTTGTATTTGTGTGCAAACATTTGATATTATTGATAAAATAGGTATTATGTCAAACTTAGTTAACTACACGATGAGGAGTTACAAATTCGTTTTAGACATGTGTGTGTGTGTGTATACGTGTGTTAGTGTATGTGTGTTTACAAAATATCAGCAATATCATTCTACACGTATATAGGCTTTAAGAGGTAAACAATATAAAATACAAATAAAAAACTATCTCGTTCTAAACTCGGTTAAAACTCACATAATTTTTTCGTTTGTTTGTTTTTTTTTTTTTTTTTAATGATTTTTTGTGATTTTTTTTCTCAATTTAAAACTTACATTAAAAGTGTAGGTTACATAAAATCCATCATTTGCTTTATAATAATGTGTGCATATAAATATATATAATCAAAAATATATATATATATATTTATATATATACTGTGACAAAAAAAAAAAAAAAAACTATACATATCAATAAATAAATATTACTTTTCGTTTTTAACATAACAGCGATAATTCCTTATATAAATACATACAATAAAATTGGAAAGAAATAATCATAATATTAATAATTATTGTTTAAAACATATTTTATAAATAGTATTTGTGTTTTCTCATTCTTATTCTTTTTTTTTTTTTTTTTTTTCATTGAATTTTTACTAATATATATATTTTTATTGACCATCGACACACCACAGCTGCGACCTTGTGACAGAAATTACATAGTCTGTTATGTATTCCACATACATCAGCCAATAACATGTATATATATGTATGTATATATATGTATATAGAGTGGTCTATATAGTTATCATTATATGTATATGCATATACGTAGATATATTAGCTATCCGCACTGTGTAAGACGCCATCGGCTTTATATATTATGTGGATAGCTCTGTGCTCCCGCGACGCACCATGTTGAGGTCACTGAAGTCGATCTCTGTTGATTCGATGGATTGTATGGAGGCGCTGCGCAGCTTGTGGGCTGGAAATTTGCCACGACTTTTCAGTGCGGTCAACTGCAGCAGGAAATGATGTTGGCCAAGTTAGTTACGATTTCATTGATGAATTATATTCGTGTTGTGCGTGCATTACGTATACGTATTTTACTAGTACTAATAGTAGTAGTGGTGTATATGTGTGTGTGTATATGTGTGTTTGTCTGTGTTAGTGTGCGTGCTTAAATATTAACCAAGCTTACTACAGAGCTCTACCAAATACCAACTACAAAAATACATATATACACAATAGTCTCTATATATGTAAGCGACAAGATAAGAAATGCACAAAGAAATCAAATTTGAATCAAATGAAAAACAAACAATGAAGAAAAGCTCATGCATGTGAAAATATATTTAAAAATTCATTTCAATTTCACATATACAAATATTAAACGATATTTTGGTTTGTGTCTTTGCTAAGCGTAGAGCTTTGCAAATTTACGATATTGGCAGGAAAATGATAGCAATGTGATACAGTGAAACGTGGCTAAAGTGTCTACAGCACGCTGGGCGGGTATATATATATATGTATATGTATAGATGTATTACAAATGAGAATGGATAAAAATGCGAGATTTTCTTTATTATAATTATATTACAGTTTTTACTTAATAACATATAAAATAGTTTTGAGCCGATATGAAGCGAGCTCACAGAATAAATAGTAAAATCTTATTATAAATAATAACATATGTATAACATGCAAATAGACCAATCCCCGTTTAGCATGCAAAACAGTAAATAAAATTATAGAAATTATGCACAAATCTTGGGAAATTTGTATGAAATCTAAAAGCGCATGCTTCACTCGGAAATAAAAGTTTATAAATGGAAATATGTTCATATATTATTTGGGGACAAACAGCAGGCAGATGCAGAGTTAACACTAAATACATGCCAAATTGTAATAAGAATTTTGAAATATGAACATGATGGATATACCAAATGTATTCAAAAACAATCGACAACAAAGTCTATGATCTAACAGGCGCTTAGATCGTAACTATACAGAATGCTAATGCTAATCTAGGATTGGGTAATGAGTTCGTTCTTCAACAGAGTTTTATATAGACACCTGATTTGCACATTTGGTCGTTGGCTGTTAAAGTGTTGAAGTCGATTTGGGGTTTAACTGGAATGTGGGGATAGATGCTTTTGGTATTTGACGACGATGCTTTGCTGAATATTTGTTTTTGGTTTAGTTTTAGTTTTGGTTAGCACTTTATATATATTCGATTAGCTTAGCTTATCCACTTCCACGGCTCAGTGTCGGGGCTGGTTATTGGCGTTGGATACTAGAGACGCAGCATTGCGTTGCATTTGATATTTTTTTTTTTTTTTTTTTTTTTTTTTTTTTTGTATGAGAAAGAGATTTAAATGAGAAACATACGATATTAATATCTTCAGCAGTACCGAAAGTACCAGAAACTCAAAAAAAATCTTTGAAAATTACAAAAATAAACGAAGTAAAATGCACGTATACAAAATATAAAAGCGAATGCCACACCAAAGCTTATGGGCTGATAAGCAATTAGCATGAGCTGAAACACAGTCCTGAATGGGGTTTTTTCTGCTTGTCTTTAGTGTGTCTAGCTGTTGGCCAATGCAGCGCCAATTTCGTAGGCGCTCATAGTGCATATGTGAATGTGTGTGTGTGTGAGTGGGTGTGTATACACGGTGATTATTAGTGTGTGAGTGTAGCTGTTGCTTGGCGCTTTTAATTTGGCATTTTTGGATGGGTTTTTGTGGGTGCGCAGAATATTAAAGGCCCGAAACCGAAAATAAACAGCAAATGGTATCCAAGTAAAGGGCTTTGCTGGACCCATCGGCAATACACACCTCCGCCTTCATGTCAGCCAACCTGTCCTGCAGGTCGCGCACCTTATCCGAATCATCGAGATTGGCGCGCAGTTCACCCTCGGCAAGCATTTCCGAATTCTACAAGGGATCCGAATCTCGTTAATCTCGAGAGCTGAGTTACTATAAATTTCGAGGCCTCACCTTTGTCTCCAGTCGTGAAATCTCCTGCTTCAGCTCGGCGACCGTTTGGCTCTGTTCGGTGAACTTGATTTTGACATTCATGAGCTCATCCTTCATGCGAGATTCCAGATCCGAGTATCTATATAAAGTCCGTAAATTACTAACTGAATAATCTGATTGATGATAATGGGACGCACCTGTGCTGCTGTTCGCGCGCCTTGTTGGCCAATTCCTTTTCGCGTGTGACAGCCAGCTCGAGCTCCTCCTTGAGCTTCTTCTGCTCCTCGTCCTGACGGCGCAGCTGATTTGTGGACACCTGCACCTGAGTCTCCAGCTCCATGACCTTCAGTCGCAGCTCCTTCAGCTCGGTGAGCGTTTCCATTTCACGTATGCGCGTCGTCATTAGCTCCTCCTCGAGCTTCTGTGTGTGCTCCGTCGACTTGGAGTTATCGAAAAAGTTGGTCAACAGCTTTTTGGGTGTGGAGTCCACGGAGGCGGCGCTATGCTCGTTGCGCTGATTCTCGGCCAGCTGGCGCTGCCATTGGCTGCTCAGCTCCTGCACGCGCTGCTTGAGATCCTTGAGGGATAGCGAGGCCTCCGCCTCGCGCAACTTGCTCGCTATCAACTCGTCCTGCAGATGGGCCACCGAATTGTCGGGCGTTGTTTCGCGCAGCGTCTTCTTATCCTCCTCGAGCTCCTCGATCTTCGACTTGAGAGTTCGTATCTGATCCTCACTTTCGGCCGAGCCCTGCCGCACCTTGACCAGCTCCTCCAGCAAACAGGAGACCATCTCGTCGCGCTGCTTCAACGCCTCCTCCTTCATGCACAGCTCGTCGATAGACGATTGCCGCGAATTATTCTAAATGGAGAAAAGTCTGGCTTTAGCAAAACTCTCACAAAGGGCGCGCATCAATATTTGCATGCAGACAACGGTTTGAAAGCTATCGGAAAATCGATCAATGATGTTCAATGGGTGTCATATCGATAGCGATAGCGATAGCTCTAGTCATAATATCTACTTAGAGTACATGAACAAATGATGTTAATTGTGTTATTGTTCTATTATGTACGCACGTGAATGAATGAATTATTATATTAGTCAACATCAAATTACTTATCAAATAAAAAAAAAATAAAAAAAGAACGATAACAAACATGCAAAGTAATGCTACGTAATGCCAAAATTGGCATGCACCTGCCATGGCTGAGGGCAATACTTTGGAGGCCCAAGCACGACATGAGCATATACATATATACTATATATATATGTATGTACACCTGTCTGTATATACATTTTGGCAAGCTGAGATACTTACGCTATCGATCGAAACGTTCTGCTTGACGTTGGCAGCAATTTTCATGGATTTTTTTTTTTTTATTTATTTATTTATATTTTTTTTTAAAGCAAACGTTTTGCGATTGGATTACCATTTGGAATGTTTAGTTATTTTGATTTCGACATATTTGTTTGAGATATATGCATGTTTTTAAGCACCACAACCACAAGAAATAAACAGAATGGAAAAAGAAAGACAGAAATGATTAACAAACGTATATCTATAGATTTAGCACGACTTCGATAATTCAGTTTAGCACTATTTTCTCTTTATAATTTCTTCAGTTTCAGCAGTTTTTAGTTACAAGACAATCGAGAATAGTGTTAAATTCGTTGTGGTCTTATACAACACTTACATTCTCCTGTAGCCGCAGGCTGAGGCCGCGCACCTCCTCGTTGGCATTCTCCAGCTGATGCGAGACCTCCAGATAGGAGCGTCGCAGCTGCATCAGCTCCGTTTGAATGGCATAGCTAAGAAATAGACAGCATAAATGCGATTAGATTACATCAAGAGAGAGGGAGTGGGAGAGAGAGAGAGAGTTGGAGTTAAGTTCAAGTACCTCGTCTCCTCCTCTTCGGCACGTGAGACTTGGCCGCGCACCAGACGATCGGCCAGCTCGGCACTCTCGGCCTCGAGCAGCTCGTTGCGCTGCTTGAGTAGACAATTCTCGCGGCGCAGCCGTCGCAGCTCGACCATCTCCTCCTGTTCCTTTTTCTTCAAGTCTTGATACTCTTTCTCCATTTTCTTCATGCGCTTCGTGTTCAGTTTCTGCGCATAGGCCAAGTTGAAGAAGCCCTCCGGATCGGCCTCGACGCGGCCGGGCAGCTCCTTCTGAAAGAACTTCAGCATGGCCTCCATGTCGAGGGACAGCAGCGACTCCTTGCCGGTGAGCAGCAGGGCCAGCGCCACCTTGAAAATGAACTCCATGCCCTCGCTGAGGAAGACATCCATAATGCGGCAGCTGAGGTTCACGTTCAGTGTGGTCGTGTAGAGCGTTAGGAACCAGCTGGACGCGTACATGGTCGTCTGGAAGCCCTGCTGCTGGAAATGTAGGTGCATATCGGGTATCTGCTCCTGCACCAGATTCTCCAGCTGGTACATGCACAGGCCCAGCTCGGACATCGATGGCTTGAACATGTGCCGCATGCGATGCTGCTGCATGATCTGCACGAGCACTGCGAACGCCTCCTCCTCGGGCATCTGCATCAGCAGCAGGCCCACAATGAAGCCAGAGCCCTGGCAGTAGCCGACCTCACGATCGTGCAGCGAATACGCTTTGATCACATTGAACAGCGCCTCCTGGCCGGGCCCGTCCTTCTCCTTGAAGAAGTCCACCTCCGGATAGGTGCGCGCTATATCACGCCGAATCACCTTCTCGCACGCCGACGTCGCCTTTATGTACTCCGCATACTGTTTCTTATCGGCGTCGGCGGCGCCGCTCAGCTGCTGCCACACGATGGCACGAAAATGATGCGGAATACCACGGCGCACCAGCTCGCGCACACAGGGATTCTTGCGCTTCAGCGCGCCATCCCAGTCGTTCAGAATGGATGCCCATGTCGTCCAGATGTCCTCCTCGGCGACGGAATTGCCGCCTGCAAAAATGATTGAAATCCACATTACATACAAACATATATTCAACAGCTGACACATATATGGGGGATATTGAGATTCGAGTCTTACTTGATGTCAGGCTGATTTGGCTCGTGTCCGAGTTCTTGCGACTGTGCGTTGAGTGCAGCGAGTTGAGACTTTTGGCATCGCTCTCGATTAGCTTGTTGGCCGCCTCCAGCTTGGCTAGCAGATCCATTTCAGATGTGGGCAGATTCTCGTCTGCTGGGGCATTCACTTCCATTTTCTTGTTGCTCTCCGGTGGCGTTGCCGTTGCGGTCAGTGTCATCTCTATATGACGGGGCTGCCACAACAAACTCTATCGAAGATGCGAGCGTGCTCTCTCTCACTCTCTCACTCTCTCTCTCTCTTACACTCTCTTTATGGTTGCTGTTTTAGTTCTCTTTTTGGCGCAGACACAAAGTTGTTGAAGTTGTGGTTCTTGTTGTTGTTGTTGTTGTTGTTGTTACTGTTGTTGCTGTTGGTCCTTGAGCAGTTATCCCCGCGGGCTGATCTCAACGATAGCTCTCTGAATGCATAGCTAGGCTCAGCTCATCGTCGCGGCTCTCGTTTCGTTTCGCACTGTAATTGATTGCAATTGGATAATTAATTAATAATAATCGTAATTGTGGGCGGGTGTTATCTTTCGCCTTTTCGGGTCTTACAGGTGCTCATACTCGAGCTCAATGAAATTGACAACTTAAGTGCGCTAAGACTTATCGAAACACCAGACTGACAGACGTCAACGACAACTGACTCTGAGATGGGGAACCCAATACAGTATGTGAGCCACATTCACACTCACACTCACACACACATACACACACACACATTTGGTTTAATGCAAACAAACGTTGCGGGCGACTTAGCTCAAGTTTGTATTCGTATTGTTTATAAGTCGTGCGGCCCCAAAAAAGAAATGTATCAAAACAAAACAGAAAAACCAGTCTGGGCTACCCTACTATCAACAACTGTATATACACATACAAACATACATACATAGATACATCTACTACATATATTATTATCTACATATTTCAGCCGAACGGATGCACTCGGCTCGTATGGCTCGTCGTATGGGACGGGTGGGCGATCGGATTGCGCACGCGTCTCGACCCTCGTCCCTGACCGCATTGTCAATGGCCGTACTGGCCAGATAAGCGCGAATCAAGCTGCAAATTATATAACCACGGTATTTAAACAGATAATATGTATACTATATATATAAATTATATATATGCATCCAGAAAGTTTAAGCTGTTAATTAAACTCCTCTTAGCACACAAATTTTGAATCAAATTTTATACTAGTTTTTGTGGTGAAGAGAAAATATCTTATATTATATTATCTAATATATTATATATTAAATATTATATATTGTATTATATATACTTTATGTATTACTTTATACTAATATTATTATGGTATTTTATATATCTTTATTAGCACATATATTTTTTGTTGAATTTTATACTCGTTTATGAGTATTCATATATTATATTATATTATACATATATTATATTTACATTATTTATTACATTATATGATTATTATTATTGTATCTGATTTATCTTTATTATTTTTTATCTTTATTTTGCGCAATATACGTACCATACGTACGTCTGATCAGTCATTCGTTTGTCTATCCGCCGGACTGCAAACCCTGTTGCCTCTTTTAAATCAGAATTTTAAGAATTTTAATCTAGAGAATATAGTTGCAGTTGTTTTAATCGCATAAATTGTAAAGATTTTAAAAATATATTCATTAGAGGTGTGACAAACCTAAAAATACTATATCTTATATAGCAGACATTTGATTAACCAGGGTATTCAGGAAATTCGCAATAGAGATTCGTATAGACAGCACAAGATCAATGCTATATAGCAGATAGTATTTTAGTAGTGTCTAATCTATATACATATACATATATACATATGAATATCCTATAAAATCTTTGCAAGTTAAATTACTAAAATTAGCTATAATGATGGAACTGTGTTTAGATTATCAGTATTACGCAGATTATGCATTATTATATTTTAAGTATATAAGTTATTGAAAGATATATCAGTTCAATAAAAGCTCTTTTATATTTTCGATCAAGTAAAACTTTACAAGTATTCACATTCACTTGGACTTCTTCAAACTACCCTCGCATATACTTTCAGTTTGAAAGCCATTGCGTTTAAGTTCTTATCAATCTAGCATTTCGCTTATCACTTAGCTCTGCGTGGCACAGGCTATAAAGAGAGAGAGTCCCTTAAAATAAACATTCAGCCGATAAGCTATGTGGAGCACCTGTTCGAAAAAAGTAGGTGAGAAAATGCTATAGCCTTTATCGCATGCCCTCTGCTCAATCCCCACCTGACCCCATCTAGGTGATGGGGCTTGTATCATCAGACATGGCAGGAATTTCTGAATCACACACTGGAGGAACCTCTACTGCAAGTCTCTCCATGCCGATTCATAAATAACGTATTTATCTAGTTAGAATAAAAAAGACAACAGCAAGCGGCGTTTCTTATCGGCATGCAATGAACAAAGGAAAAACAGAAAGCAAAAAATAAACGGAATTTTTTATGAATTTAGATATCGATTTACAAGTACAAAAATTAACTTAAATATACATTTATAAAACAACAAAACAACAGCGAGAGATGGCATTACGTAAGTACATGTCGAGCATGTACATTTGTACTCGTCGATATGCCATATGATCGAGTATGCGGACAATACATCTCGCACAGACACAGTATAACAGTATAACAGTCGCTTGTATGCCACCCACACGAGTCGAGCTTACGCCCACTGCAGTGGGTGCACTGTCAGCCGGCATAGCTGCCTTGATATCAGCTAGCTTTGGGGTATAGGGCGCTGTAATACCCTGTAGTTAATACGTAGAGTTGGGGTATAACAGACTAAAGAAAACAAAACTATTATACAATATATTATAATTCAGATTGCCATCTATTTATGTGAGGTTATGATAGATGAGGATAATATATATTTATCTATTAGTTATGTATATATAGATAAATAGTAAGCAAGTATATTATGACCCCACATACATATACAGTATGCATATATATATATATAAAAGCTCGTTAAACATTTTCTTTACAATTGCAACTACTCCAGGAAAATATCGCCCTACTCTGCGCTTCTCATGCACTTAAGGTTTATATGCAATCAATTGACTTTACCCCTTGCCATCTATCAATCTCTATTTACTATAATTTCTAGCATTCGCAACACGTTTACAGGGTAGCTGCCGTTTGAGCCTTGACCTCATTTTGCTACTGCTACCTATTTTATTTAATTGAAAACGCCTCAAAACTTGTCATGTTCAGCTTAATCAAAAATTTAAACACTTCCGCAAGTGCAGCCAAGTGGAAATAGCAAACGTACATTGAAATTTGCACACACAAAAATACAAAAATAAACATAAACATCAAAACACAACAACAACAACAAGAACAATAAAAAAACGAGCCCCAAACAATAAATGCAACACGATGATAATGTTAAAGATGACTGTGTGTCGGCAAACACAGTTATAAATTACTGCGTGTGCGTGTGTATGTGTGTGGGCCAAGTGGCTGGGGTTACGAGCGGAATTGCCACAAATATAAATTGCATTTGCGAAAAAATGGAAATATAAATAGAAAACAACAACAAAATTCAAAGTCGAAGTCAGTTAGCAAATGCGGTTCAATGCCATTAAACTTGGAGCGCATTCAAAGAGAGAGAGAGAGAGAGGGAGAGAGAGAGAGAGAGGACGAGTAATATGCATAGTTAGGTATAAATATGTATGTATAGTTTTATATATATATATATATATATATTTATTTATTTATAACGGCCATTACACACATGTACGACAATACAGTTATGAAGCAGACATAATACATACAACATCGATACGACATGATACGACGATACGTGTTGATTAGATTTCGAAACACTAAACATACACACACACACACGCACACATGCAGGTATGCATGTGTGCAGGTGTACAAGTGTGTGTGTGTGTGGGGGGGTCCGAGACAAGTGAAATCAAATCGCACAGCGCCAATCTCCCCAGCTCATTCGTTCCATACGAAAAATGAGGTTAGTTCGCTCAGTACGCGAAGATACGTGGAGTCGAGCGCACAGGAGCGAACGGCAACTAACAAAAAAAAAGCAAACAAACAACAAAAAATTGAAGATAAATACAAAATAAATTTGTAACAACAAAACTAAAGAAAAACAAAAGAAAAAGTTTGGCAGCAACAACAACATTTAAAACTGGTAATAATTAGGTAAGTGAAGACAAAAGCAAACGCCAAACAAAGCAGGGCAAAAGCCATATATCTCTCCCCCTCATTATCTCTCTCTCTCTCTCTGCTTGTAATACCCTACAGCTGCAGCAATGGGGCATTACAGTCACATGCCAATGGCATATATACGATAACATCAATTAGAAATGCATCAAAGCAAGGCAACTGTTTCTAGAGCGTCAGCTTTTTTTTTTTCCTTTTTTTTCGTCTTTCATTTTTCATGGGTTGCTCCAGTCGTTTTCACGAAACTGATAATAGCCGTTCCAAAGATTACGGGGTTTATCAAATAATTGAGCTGATTTAAAGGTAAATCAAGTACATACATAAACAAATGCACAGCATACGGTATTTTTAGGTAGCTCTCCCATAGCTCGCCGATATAAACAAACATTTTTTGGCCTAGACTTGAAATCTAAGCCAAAGCTCGAGATCCTAATATTCTAGATCTGAACTATTTTTAGACTTTTAGATATATGAGCTTGAGCTCAAGTATTTTATTTAGTATTTTGCATAGATCAAACCATTTCTATTTGTATAGATATATAGATTAATATTGATCTTCATATAGATCATTCTATTGTTATATATATATAGATCATTCTTAATATAGATCAAGATCTATAGTCTTCATATAGATCATTCCACTTCAATTTGTATAGATACATAAACCATAAAAGATCTTTATATTTCCATTCATATAGAACATTTTTAATATAGATCATTGTAGATCTTCATATAGATCACTCCATTTCTATTTGTACAGATATATAGATCATTCTTAATATAGATTATTAAAGATTCCTATATAGATCTGTCCATTTCCAGTTGTATAGCTTAATAGATTTTTCTTAATATGAATCACTGTTGATCTTCATTTCCATTCCCAAAGACGAATAGGTCTGTCTTACTATATTACCTCAGATAATCATAGCTGCTTTTCCTAGGGTATCTGACTTTTTGCCTCTGATAATACCTCTCTTGATTACTGTTGTTGCATGTCTCATTCAGCAGGTGACCGAAAACAAAAGTTTGGAGGCGTTTGGCGGCCATGACAGCCAACCCAATACCGCGAGTCGAGCAACAAGAGTCGGAGGCGGAATCGCAGCTGAAGCCGATGCATGCGGAAACGGCTGAGGCCGAGGCCGATGTGAATGGGGCAGCTGAGGCAGCAACGGATGAGCTAATTGGCATTTTCTATGTGGAGAACCGGCGACGCAAGCAAAACATCAAAATTGTGGTCAAGCTCTGTCCAGAGGGCATCTATCTACGACGGGAGACGGCACAAAATGATCACATCAATGAGCAGCTGATACGCATCGACGACATCATCGGCTCCAGCTGTGGCCAGCGGCTGAAGAAGCGAGCCCGAGGTGGCCTCACCTCGTGCAAAAGCACCAGAAATCAGCAGCAGGAGCAGCACCAGCACCCAGATGCCGAGGGTGCAGGAGCAGAGGAGCAGCAGGGAAAGGAAGCCGACAACAGCGCCTACCTCTACATCTATGCGTATCTGAAGAAGGAGAAGCCGCTGCGACGAGGAAAGACGTTGCGCATCCTACGCTTTCGCACCAGCGACGACTATGCCGAGAATCTGGCCACCGCTCGGCTGTGGCATCGCACCATACGGGAGCACAAGCAGCGCTCAGGCGCTGCGGGTGAAGTGGCTCGGGCGACGGGCAAAAAGCTGCTGATTTTGCTGAATCCCAAGTCGGGATCGGGCAAGGGACGCGAACTGTTCCAGAAGCAGGTGGCTCCAGTGCTGCGCGAAGCGGAGGTCCAGTACGATCTGCAGATCACAACCCATCCCAACTATGCGCAGGAATTTGTACGCTCGCGCAAGGATCTGATGGAACGATATTCGGGCATCGTTGTCGCCTCCGGCGACGGCCTCTTCTACGAGGTGCTCAACGGCCTGATGGGGCGCATGGACTGGCGTCGTGCCTGCCGTGAGCTGCCCCTGGGCATCATACCCTGCGGCTCCGGCAACGGCCTGGCCAAAAGCATCGCTCATCATTGCAACGAGCCGTACGAGCCGAAGCCCATCCTCCATGCCACGCTGATCTGTGTGGCCGGCCGCGCTACGCCCATGGATGTGGTGCGTGTCGAGCTCACTCACCGGGACAGACACTATGTGATGTACTCGTTCCTCTCCATTGGCTGGGGCCTCATTGCCGACATCGATATTGAGAGCGAAAGCCTGCGCTCGATTGGCGCCCAGCGCTTTACCCTTTGGGCCATTCGACGGCTCATCACGCTGCGCTGCTATCGGGGTAAACTCTACTATCTGCCGGCAAAGAGCTCCACGGAGCAGCCAGCAGCAGCTCCTGCAGCAGCTCCTGCAGCAGCTCCTGCAGCAGCTCAATCCACGACAGGGACACCTCAGGAGCAGGCCAATAGCCAGGCTGAGCCCCAGCCCGCAGACTTCAGCGAATTCAAAGACCTGCCCGACGACGAGGATGTGCAGTTGCGCGACAATCAGTCCGATCTGGATCAGTTTGCCGATGCCCTGTCCCTGGATCGTTCCATCTATCGCCAGAATGCGGATAGCTGGCATTCGGCAGTGTCGAGGCGCACGGCCTACTATTCGATTGGGGGCCAGAGCTCGCGCTCCAACCGCAGCCGGCTGAACGTGAGCCAGCGGATCGAGGCAGCCAATGCCGAGTTCAATCAGCTGGTGCCGGTGAGCAAGATACCCGGACTGCAGATGCCGCTATCTGCCGCCGATGGCTGGCTGCACGAGGAGGGCGAATTCGTGATGGTCCATGCGGCCTACACCACCCACCTGGCCTCCGATTGCTACTTTGCGCCCGAGTCCCGGCTCAACGATGGCCTCATCTACCTGGTGATCATACGAGCCGGTGTCGGACGCTCTCAGCTGCTCAACTTTCTGCTGGGCATGCACAATGGCACTCATCTGCCCATGGAGCCGGATCCACACATACAGGTGGTGCCGGTGCGAGCGTTTCGCATTGAGCCTTGCGGCTCCCATGGCATCCTTACCATCGATGGGGAGCGCGTGGACTATGGGCCCATACAAGCCGAGGTATTCCCAGGCCTCATCAATGTGATGACCACAACGGGGCAGTGAGCAGGTTTTCAAAGTTCCAGTTATTAATTTTACAACATATACATATATATAAATATGGTTTAAGACTGTTTTTTTTAATAGATATATGAATTTTTTTTTTTTTTTTTTTTTTTTTTTTATTACTGCTGAATATTATTAGAAAAAGAGAGCACAAATATGACACAAGTAAAAGAGGAACCAAGACAAGAATATTTTTTGCTATATATCTACGAATATCGTATATATTTAGTTATAGGAGTGTGTATATAATATTTAGTGTATATATTTACATATGTACGAAACATTGTTTTGTTTTTGAGGCTTCAATTAACATTTCATTTTCATTAACAGCTTTGAGCTAACAGCTAAATTGTTTACGTTTTGGTTCATCGATTCCTTAGCCTTGGTTTATTGACTTATTATTATTAATATTTGTTTTCCAATTTTAAAATTGTAAGCCAAATCGTTTTTATTATATATACAATAATTCATTTACTTATAGATATTTTTAACAGCTTTTAAAATCAATTAAAATTTAACATATTCATGTATTTTGTGTTGTCAAACAATTATAGCAGAATGTTAATTTTGCGATAACATCGGCAATGTTTAATAATAGAACACAAATACACACGCACCAGAAACTAGTTTAATTCAGATAACTGTCCACAGTTACAACTGTTTTCTTTTTGATTGATTGTTTTCAAAGGTGTTTGTCAACTAATATGATAAATATGGGATATATGCGGGCATTAAGTATACAGTCAATTGAAATATTTATAGAAATTATTTAGTGGTATTTTTTGTTTTGAACTTTTAGCCAATAAAAACCGATGATTAACTGAAGTTTCGATTAGATTGACTTTTATATGGCTCAGATTGGAAAAAAAAAAACATAGAGATTTCCTGGCAATCGATTGGACTTGCCTATCTTTATAATCATTACACAAATATATATATATAAGTAATATATACATAAAGAGATATCAAAACGTTGGGGCAATGGTCGAGTGCGCGGTTTATAACTGGACCCCATTTAGTTAGCAACTTAATTTCAATTTAAATTCGTTTTTGATAAGGCCTTAATTCGATAGAGTAAAATTATACGAGCTTAGTAAAAAATTGGTCATAAATAACGCACTTAACACTTTTCAATGTTTAGTCAAACAATTCTACTTAGTTTAAACTTTTAGCTATTTATTTAGCTATTCACAGCTCGAATTTGCTAGCCAGCATATTATTTTGGACGCCACTGTGACAGGCAGCAAAGTTTGCTGCATACGTTTAGGCTAAGTGCTGTTAATTTGTAAAAAAGCTAATGTGTGGACAAAGCACACATACACATACACATACAACTATATATGTGTATGCGTGTGTGTATGTATGTGTGAATGCTATGAATAGTTGCTAATTAACAGCACCATCAAATTGTAGACAATAATTAACTGCCTGCATTCGTTACTGTAGTTTGTTAGCAAGTGTATATACATACATACATGTATTTACATATGTATGCATGTGTGTATTTAATGGTCGTGGATGCATAAACTGAAAAAAGGGTGCTGCTATGTGGTGTACATACATACATATATTTATTTATATATACTTTATTTTTTGTACGACTTTTCAACCAAGTGGCAACATTTTGCGCGCACACACACACGCACATAATAATGCATGTGTGTGCGCGCGTGTAGTGCATGCACTTGCCTACTTATTTCCACTCTGATTCATTCATAAAACACATAGGCATGTCTGTGTGCGTGTGTGTGCAGCGGCCAAGAACCAGCAAAAAAAAATTAAATTAAAATGGAAAAAAAATGCCGTCTTAAATTCATTTCGGATGCGTTTTCAAGTGGCCACTCGAGCCAGTCAAGTAATACATGCATAAAAGCATTCGTAAACCGTTACACAGAATTAGACACACACACAGAGACAGATGGAAGGAGAGAGAGAGACAGGGAGTGGGTGGCTTGTATTAGAGATGGAAATAGCATTTGTCACTGTATAGGCCAGACATTATTGCTTTTTATTGTTTATACAAATTGCATTTTATTTCTTTGCTGACTCTGTCTAAATATGTCTCCACTCTTTGCTCTCCACATCCCTCATTCTCCGCACTTACACTCTTTCGCCATCGTCACCCAATCGAGTAGGCAAAGACGCTGGGCGAACGGGTAACGGGGCTTGCGGACTGTGTGGGAATTAGTCAGAAACCTGCTGGCGGCACCAGCAGCCGCAGCGGCCACGGCTTCGAAAAAAAAATGTATACATTTGTTTTTGTTTTATGTATTCAAATTGATATAGCTCACGTATGACATGTAGGGTATATAAGTTGCGAAAGTGAGCGTAACTAAATGCGAATGCTTTGCTGATGATTTGCAAATAGTTTTTTATACAACTTTTGGTTTATTTTTTTTTTTAATTTGACAATAAAATAGTCTTTAATAAAAAATATATTTTGTATATTGTTGCAATAATAGTAAAAACTTGTAATTTAATAAATGTTAATAATAAATGTAATTTTTTTTTACTTAGTAAAATTTAATTTAAGATCATTTAATTTTATTTTTCATTTGGTAATAAATGGAAATTGTTTATCCACTGTTTATATAAAAAGAAAAATCCTGACTTTAGCGTAAGCAAACTTGAAATCCATAAAAAATGATAAATAAATGTTGTTTATCTAATGCCATATTATAATAGATGAATATTCTTTGTTTATTTAAAAAATAAAATAAAGTAAATTAAACATTTTTATAATTGAATCATTTTTTCAACTGTACAAAATAATATAATTTTTCTACATTAAATGCTATATAAAGTAGTTAAGCAACAAAGCTAATCGATTCTAGCATTCAAACAGGGCATCCCATAGTGTAATACCATTCATTTCATTTGGTTTAAGATTTAAACAACCAAAATTTGAGGTGAATATTGCATTTTTGTGGCGTTGACATTTTGCATATCAGGTTCTTCAATTTGCAACTTGGCATATTTAATGACAACATATAACTGGAAAGTTCAAACGTGTTTACAGAGAGAGAGAGAGAGATATTTGTGGAATTCTAATCCTGCCAGGGGGCGTCTCGCTTACATTTTTAAGCGTTTTAACCTAATTAAATACAAACTAAGAGATGCAGGAGGTTGGGTGCTTGGCTTACCGTTTACCGCGTTTACCGCGTTTACTGAGACCACGCCCCGCCTGACCCGATGGTATGGGGCAGACACACATTAGCATAATTTCATTTTGCCGCACCTGACACCCATCGCCCTCACCACATCCTTCACAATGAACCGCAGCCAAGCCCCAAAAAAGTCTGTGCTTCATAACTGTAGCTGTTATTCGAGATTTTCAGCTATTTTTAGGCAAAGTGGCAACGCCAGGATATTTTACGTAACTGATAATTACGTTGATATTTGGGCAAATCTAATGCACAAAAGCACTCGCTTCAACAACAACATTAACAATCGAAATTAAATCGTTCCAAATTGTTTTCGGCTAATGAGTTGGCTATCGTTGCGGCTATATAGAATTTGATAGGAAATTGAAAGGGTAAGAGTCATTACGGTGCACATACACATACGCACACGCTTCGATTACTCCAAGCAAGCGTGTGTGTGTCTGTGTGGAACAGTTGAGAATTGATAGCGTATAGAATGAAGGCAGATGCAGAGACAAGCGACAGACGATTGCAGCGATCGCTTAATCATCTGGGAGTAGAGCAGAAGCACGCGCTGCTTCAATTCTATTTGTATACAATCATGTTTTATCGCTTCCAGTGAGAAAGAGAAAGGGAGTGAAAGAGAGTGGTAGAGTGAGATAGCAACTGTGCGTATATATTGTTTGCATTAATCATTTTAATAGGGGCGGCACTATGAGCCATGGACAATGCATAAACAAGGCTTAGACTAATTTCTGTGCAAAAAAAAAAAAAAACTATCATAAGCTTGCAAAAAAAAACACACACACACATGCGTGCAGAAACCAGCTGAATCAACAGCAAAAGCAATTAGGAAATGAGCCCCACAAGTCCCGCACTCAATCTCTCTGTCTCTTTCATCCCGCTTGACACACACATGTGTCTCAACATCAGCGTTGACTGAGAGGGAAAAGCTTTCGCCATAAAATGCACAGAAATAACAACAAAATTGATCATTGAAATGAGGCCAACAAAAAAAATTGTAACGGTGTTACGACAACGACAACAATATAGCAAAGATAGAAACGACGAAAACGCACAAAAAAAAACTGGAAATAGCTTGAGAAGTGCAATTCATCAAAAGTAAACTCCTAAAATACCGGCACGTATCGAAGTATGTATGACATACATACACGCACACACGCACACATACACACATACAAATTACATCTATGCATAGGAGTGCATACATTTATGCTCGTTCATCTGACGGTTGCGATTGCCCAAACCCATACATACATACATGCATGCATGCTTAGTATAAATGTGCTGAATTGCAAGTGTTGCCAGAAGTCGAAACTGTAAACAACATTTTGAAAGTGATTGAAAACAAGCGTCAACAGGGAGCTGTGGGTAGGTGTTGCCGCCTATTGTTATGCTTTTTTCTGCCTTTTGTTGTTGTTTTGTATTGTTGCTTACTTTACATAACGGTTTTTTGCAATGGACACTGGGACGACAGAGTGAAGGAAATTATGAGCATTTATACAGACAGACATACATACATATGTATGCATGTTTTTTTTTTCTCTATTATTTTTGTTACTTTTTCAGCTAAGCATTAACAAATGGCAGTTTAAATACATACATACGTACGTATAATTTTATACACACAGATAAATGGACGTGGCTCACTTTTCAAGTGCAAATCATTTTTAACATATTTTCGCGGCTTTTGGAGAAGGTCAAAATACTTCAAAAAGCAGCTTCAGCAATACAAAAAAAATTAATAAAAATTAAAACAATACACCCACACACACACAGTAACGAAATGTATGTATGTACTTATTGAAATACAAGCCAAAATAAATACATATGTATATAGACGGCACACTCAAAAGGCTGAACTACTTCTAAACAAATTATGCATAGACATACATACGTACATATAAAGTTGTTCATATATTTGCTGGTCGTGCTGTATGTGAAGCATGAACATAAATAAATAAACAGAATTATAGCAAAGCACACGCGAGGCGTATAAATGTGGGCATGGGTGTATGGTGAATACATATGCATATATGTATGTGCATATGCCTGTATGGATGTGTGCATGTATATGTGCAGACACCCATGCAAGGTGGTAACGCTGCGCACAGAGAAAGATAGAGCGAAAGAGCAAGAGAGCAGCAGCAGCAGACGTTGTGAAGTTTGAATTGGAAGATACAAGGTTACAACAACAAGACAACAAAGCAGCTGATGTGGTAGGAAATGGGCATATGAAAGTGTAAACGAAACGCAGAGAATTTTCTCTAATTGGAATAACTGTTGGCTGCTGGCACTTGTTGTTATTGTTGTTGTCGCTATTGTTATTTGATAATAATATAGGGCTATAATAAAGAGGCAATCCAATAATGTTAAAGGGGCAAACAATAAAAATGAATATACATCTGTATAAATGAGAGCAAAAACGAAGTACAACTAGAAAGTTTTTTATTTATTGCTATTTGATGACGTTTTATAGACTCAGACACACATATAAATAATATATTTATCGGTGTGTAGGTATACACACTATCTATGTATGTAAATAGTAAACACACCTGCTTCAGCACTCACCGTTATTGCTTCTTATTGGTATTCTAAGCGAAGATGGCGAATTTTCAGGCGAAGACGACGAGCGAAGCGACGTCGTCGTTCCAATCAGACGTGCATTAAACTGCCATGAAAGAGTTGTAATTGCTGGACGACGACGACGATGACTTTTTATTTAATTTCACTTCAAATTTTGACGAGACCGACTTTTATTTGCTGTAAACGTCACTTCTTCGGTTTGTCCGCAGACACTGGCACACACATACATACATACAAACACACACACACACGATTCGTTTTCTGGTTGGAGTAAGTTTTCAATTGGTATTTGCTAAGCGGCAATGGATTTGCTTTGTATGCACTATCGCGTGTATCGTTAGCTATGTGGCTGTGGTGAAAAAAATACAAAACAAAAAACAATATCATTCACAATCTTTAAATTAGATTTCTTTGGCGTTCGAGTTTTTGATGTTTGCTGAATTTATAAACTGAGCTTCCAGTGTGACTGCACTCTGCGAACAGTGTGACCACAGTTAACTAGCAATCAAATGCCATACAAAATACGGAATCCATTTAACATTTCAACACGCTGAACTAACAGTTTTTTTAGGCTCGATATTAGACATAGGCGCATATCGATAAATGAAATAATTACTGAAAAACTAATTAAATAAGGTGAATAAATAGATTTTTGGTTGTATATATGTGTAATTCACGGTCTCTGCATCGATGTTCATCGTATGGTAGTATCCATAATGCATCCTCCCTTATGGAGTTGTCAAATATCGCCACAAAGGTTTTGAGGGTGGTTATCGCTTACGATACCTTATCGCATTTGCTGTTTATCCCTCGGAGCATTTTAAGTTGTCATAAACTGGAACATATTATTTATTCCGAAAAATCTAGGATATATAAAAAACAGCAAGATGCCAGAAACTGAACACTTGCCCGAAGGATGGGAAAAACGAACCAGCCGCTCAACTGGTAAGGATAAACCAAAACTAAAAACTCCTGCAAAACTCCATTTGCAACCGGTAATTTTTCGCTTTTCAATACGCAAATATATGTGTGCTCTGCAGGTATGAGCTACTATCTCAACGTGCACACAAAAGAGTCCCAATGGGACCAGCCAACTGAACCGGCGAAAAAGGGGGGCAATGGCGCCTCAGGTGATGCCCCCAACGAGGTGCAGTGCCTCCATTTGCTGGTCAAACACAAGGGCAGCCGACGGCCTAGCTCCTGGCGCGAAGAGAACATCACACGCACCAAAGAAGAGGCCCAAATGCTGCTCGAAATCTATCGCAATAAAATTGTCAACAATGAGGCGACATTTGAGGAACTAGCGCGTTCCTATTCCGATTGCAGCTCTGCCAAGCGAGGCGGTGACCTGGGCAAATTCGGACGGGGTTAGTCTGGAATGAGCTTCCATTTCAATGAATCACTTTCTTAACCCTTTTGAATCCTTAATTAGGTCAAATGCAGGCGCCGTTCGAGAAAGCCGCCTTCGCCTTGAAGGTGGGACAATTATCGGACATTGTTGACACCGACTCCGGCCTGCACATCATTCTACGGAAATCATAGAGCAAATCAACGGATAACATGTAGAGGACACGGAATTAACTTATTACAAATCAAACGAAATTAAAGCGCTTGAATGAAAATCCACTCTTATAGAGTATTTTCATTCGCATTGCCCTAAAAATCTCTTAAATTCCCATTCAAATTGTTAGATCTTTCCTCTGCTTTGTTAATAAATAAGACAATATATAAATATCGTTCATCTCTGCCAAGTACGAAACACTCTAAGCATTAAGTTTTATTAACCGAATTTATAATGGATCTATAAGAGACCCAACCACAAAAAGAAATTTAAATTGTTTCTTAAAGACGCCATTTTTTTTTTTCCTTTTTTTATATGAAAATCTCACCTTTGCGATTTTCACCACACAAAATGTATTTCTTATAACCTTAAATATAAACATATGCGATTTTTCTAACAAGAGCAATTTTGACTACATTTCTTTTCTTATATGCCTTTTCTATGCGATTCTCATTATATACAATATATACATATGTATGTATATGCCGTAGCGCTATTATTCCCGTCTCCATTATAACTGCACAAAAATTAATTCTCGTTGTTGTTCGGCTAATTCAAAAGTGTTTGCTTGTGCAACAGTCCAGAGCCAACTCCCTTTTCTTCACTTCTGATTGCTTTCCCTTGACTTATCGGAATCATTGCAAATCTCTGCTCTCTCACTCAACAACAATCGGGTCCAAGTTCAGCAACAGCTATGGTAATACATACTTCTTCAATTGCCATTAAGATGCTAACTCACTCGTCATATCACACGAGATATATATTATATATTTTATATATATATATATATATATATATATATATATATATATATATATATATATTATGTTTATTTAATAATTGTTATCATTAACTAAAGCTACTCCATTGAATATGTTATCATATATCTATCTATCTATTCTTTTAATTTTTCCAACAACAATTTAGCTCCTGGTGATTGAGCATCCTCGACAATTTGGGACAGGTTCTCCTCCTTAAACAAAATGCGGCATTTGTTGAGCAAATCTGGCGAATTCTCCACTAGCTTGACGAGAATGAAGCAAGCACGATTAATACCCAGCCAGAATTTAAGCTAAAGTAAACAGAATAACAAGTAGTTTAGCATTTGAATGATAACATAAAATTCGAATTAATATGAAATTACCACATCGGTATTAAGATGATTGAATAACTGGTTGCCAAATGGAGTAGACTCGCGCTTTAGGTCGCTACGAATGATCTTCTTTATTACATGATGCATGCCAGCATCCTCTATTCCGTTAATCGATGGGACAGCCTCCTCTTCCTTGGCCGGGGTCTCCTCTTCGACTGTCAAGGTCTCTTTTACGGCGTCTGGGGTTTCATTATCAGCGTCCAAGGTCTCTGCCTTTTTCGGTTTTTTGGCTGGAGTACCCTCCTCCTCATCCCCCTCCTCTTCCTTGTCATTCTCCTTATCCTTTACATTCTCCTTCTTCTTATCCTCGGCATCGGCCTCCTCATCCGAGGTGATCAGCGCAAGAGCAGCAGACTTGAGCTTATTTTTATTTTTATTTTTATTCTTGCGCTCTTCTATTGTATTGGAAATGTAAGTCTCCACATCCTGCGGCTTTTTCTTCATCAACTCGCCCTCGTCGGATACTTCGGCAATACGCCAATTGACATCAGCGATTACCTGAGCCAAAGCTGTGACGGCTTTCTCATAATGCTCGCCAGTAACTGAGAAGAAAGAGAGAGAGAGAGAATTGTTGTTGAAAATATTCAGGGAAAAATATAAGGTGCTTACGATGCTTCAATATATTTGCAGTGACGAGTCCAATATGATTGTTGGACAGCCAGAAGGCAGGACTCTCTGCCATAGCTAGAGAAATAGGAGCTTCCACCTGATCCAAGATCTCTTGACGACGTGTCGCTTTGTCCTTCTTGCCGAACTTCAAGCCCAACTCAATGGTCTCAATGAAGCCGGGATGGAAACAGGATGTATCGCCAGGCGCCACCATCCACTGGACAACACGACGTCCGTAGTTATTTGACACCAAAGTCTTCAGATCACCATACAAGGGATCAAAAATAGATTTTTTGATAGCCTTCGTGTCATCTAATGCATTTAGCAAGGCGATTAGAAAAGTATGGCCATGCTCGTGCATGGAGATCTTTAGCAAATGTTCCTTGATTTTTTTTATGACAGCCTAAGAGATTGGAATGAAATGATATGTATGAGTGAGGGAGATTCGTTCGTAGTGCAACTCTTGACTTACTCGGCGAGTTTTCGAAGTAGAGTAGTAGAAACATAAAATCGCCGCCTCGGTGCCATCCTTAGTGCTTAACATATACGGTATGTAAGCAGCCAGAGGGGTGACAGTCTCCTCCAGTTTCTCCTCGTCGGTGACCTGTATGTACTCGAGCAAAACGGCGTGCACTAAAGAGTTATCTAATAGCTCCTTATTGGCAATATGCTCCAGATTGGCTTTCACAGCGCCAATTATGGAGGCTTTCATATTTGGTGAGTTCTCAAATGTGTCTTTCAGGCACTTCACCTTGTCATCCTTGGCCAATTTATAAAGATCTCCGTAGAACTCTTGGCGCAGATAGCGACGCTCCTTCGAATTCCCATTCAAGTATATGTAATCCATGATCTTGCTAGCGATTTTATGACCACATAGACGGACCACATTACCGTATAAAGCTTTGACCAATGATTTTTTTGTGCTAGGCGATCCATATTTCAACATTCGATTTATACAGAAATGTGCATATTTTGACTGGCACAACTCCGCGGCTTTCGGTATTAATTTGCTTGATATTTTTTCCCTTAAGTCGGGTGCTGCATACTTTAGCATACACTGAACCACTCGGGAGGAATCGTGAGCCACGATCATCTTTAATATCATGTCGTCGATATCCAATATTGTATACATTTTCTCTACTAATATGTGCTTATGGGTGGCGTTACGACTGCAATGGCAATGGAAATATCAATGTCTTTACGTGACTGTCTCTGTTGGAATCTGAGGCGGGATACTTACCATCTCAGCACTTCATACATTTGCTTCACTTTCAGGCAGATGTCATAGGATCCGCGGCGGCGTTTGCGTTCCAATCTGAGCTGCCTTCTATCCTGCTTGAACTGATTCCAATCCGTTTTTGTGTGTGCCATTTTTCGGTTATCAGAGGGGTTTGGCCGGCTGAGACCTGGACCTGTTTCTCCAGCTGCCGGAGGATTATCAACTTCAACCATATTCACTTTATTTAGGGCAAATTGATAAATGAGAAATGTGTTTGTGTTTCGGGTTCAGCGGCAACACGTGCCGAGCGATTCGATATATTGAGAGGTATCGTTATCGATGAAAGGCACAAGTGCAGTGTGGTAATATGAAAAAAAAATACCTAGCAGCGGTTTTTAACTATCGATGACCAGATTGCAAATTCGACGATATTGTTAAAAATATATTTTCATAATTTAGTGCAATCAGATTGTTACACCCAATTAATATAATTATTTTGTAGCTCTGAATATCTCTTTGTTGCATATACATACATTGTATATGAATACCATATATCGGCTGGGAATATCGTCAAGAGTGTATGGCCAGTTATCTCACCCCTAGTGTACAGTCGCCTCAGTCGCGACGGTGGATATATAAATAATTGTTGTTTTTTTTCGCGGCAAAAAGTGCAAACATTCTTTTTACGACATCACAATTCAAGGAAAACAACACGAGCAATGGTTAAGCTAGGCAAAAAAAAATTAGCAGAGCTCTCGGAAATAAGCAAAAAGAAATCAGCCGCATGCTCCGACAGTGATGAAAATCCGAAAAATGGAGCCAACAATTCAAGTGATGATGATGACTCCGAAATTGTCAACGATAAGCAGGAAACTGGCTCGAAAAAACAACGGGCGTCCGTGGCATCCACAAAGATCACCATTAATGACAGCGACACGGATGGGAGCGATGATCTGCCATTGAATGGCAGCAAAGCGTCCAGCTCGAGTGGACCGCCCCGAAAGAAGCAAAAGAAGACGCCCAAATCGAAGGGCAAAGCAGCGCTGCAGGCGGCGGCTGCTGAAAAGAATAAAAACAAAAAATCGTCAACCAAAGCCGTATCAGATGACAATAATGATGACAATGACGATGACAACGCCAACGCCGATGATGATGTTGACAGGGAATTCGAGGTTTGCACACGGTTAAAATACTTGCCATAAGGCGAACTATTATATTCGTTTGCATTACAGGTGGAGGCGATTGTAGGTCACAAGTCGAAGAACGGCGAGTCGTTTTTCCTGGTTCGCTGGAAGGGTTACGGCAAGGAGGACGACAGCTGGGAGCCGGAGGCCGAGCTTAATTGCGACGACCTGATCGAGGAATATCGTAAAAAGGTAAAAGTTATGCCTGGGCCATGCTTTATGTTTATGTCATTGACTTTCAGAGTTCATTTCCAGAACAGCAAGAAGAGCGCCGGAGCTGGCAAGAAATCGCCGGCAGCGGCAAAGGGTGTACGCGGCCGAAAGGCGAGCAGCAAGACTGTGTCCACCGATCCGGATAAGGAATGGGCAGTGGAACGCATATTGGACTCAGTCCATGACGATGAGCACGGCGTTCTCTATCGCATACGCTGGAAGGGCTTCGGTGCCAAGGAGGACACCTGGGAGCCTGAATCGAATCTATCCTGCGAGGGCCTAATCGAAAAGTACAAGAGGAGACTGAACGAGGAACGCAACGTAGACGCGAAACAGTTGCGAGAATCGCCGAAGAAAACGAAACGCTTGGTCAACGAGACAATTCCACGCTCTAATTTACACAATCGAATCGAGCGTTCCTCGAAGCGAGCCGCAGCGAAAAATCGGTAAGACGAGAAAGTTCTAGGTGTCCCTTTCCCTGTCCCCGCCCCTCTCCCTCTTAGTAATGTGTCACTAACTGTCTCTTTTCAATTCGTTTCATGTCACACCTGCTGTCCCTCTCGCACTCGCAGCGTTTTCTATGGCGAGGAATAGGAGAACGGGACTTGTAGTTCAATACGAGATATTTGACGACAAATAACAACAAAACAAAAATAACAAAGAGAAAAAAGTGCAGTATCGAATTCGGAGTAGTAATTGAAATGAATAACAGTTTTAAAGCGATTAGCTTAAGTTGATGAAACGTGAAACCTTACTGAAGGCCTGGCACGTTCCTAGTTCTTAAGAGTATAAATTGTCTAAGTACGTGAAAACCATTAACCAACAAATAAAAAATAAAAAATAAAATATTAAAACAGAATTTCTTCTAAGGTTTTAGGTTATGACAAAAAATATAATTCCCTCTTTATAATGTATTATCGTAGTCAACTAAATTAAACTACACTTTCTATTAAGTTTTCCATAAACAAATAAATAAGAATGTAAAATATGTTTCAAACAATTTATATAGAACGAACATTTAATTAATTTTAGAAATTAACTTACCCTGGATATCCGGGCTGCCGTTAATATGATCCCTAATCGAAAAAAGAATAATTTATGTAGCAACAAATAATATTTCAATTAACTGGAAATAAATTTACTCACACACTCACAGTGACAACCCCTCCTCCAGTCGCTTATTTATTTTGGAATAACAGAAGAATATTAAATATGTATTAAGCAAACTACTGATAAATTAAATTCAAATAAATTTTAAGAAACAACTTACTCTGGCTATTATACACCAATTCGGAATTCATAAAACTTGAAAAGTAATGTTATATAGCAACAGTATTTCAATTAACTTGAAACTAATTTACTCACACATTCAAAGTCAGATTCTCATTCTCTTTCTCTTCTATATCAGACATTATTATTCACTTATTTATTTTTGAAAAAAAAAAAAAAAAAAAATTTAATAAAAAACTTCGAAAAAAATTTTTTTTTTTTTTTTTGACGTTTTCGCTTTGAGGTACTCGTACGAATGAGGCAGGATGATTTGTGAAAGTCACTTAAATTATCATGTCGAGGATATGTCAACTTGACATATGTCCAGACTCGTTGACAAATTTGCTAATGCTGTCGGGACAGACGAAGGGCGAATCTAGCCTGAGAGGGCCTAATCGAGCCGTTCAGGAGGAGCCTGATCGAAGAGTTGCGCAAGTCGCTTAACAAAACGAAGCACCGTTAAATCGGACGAGTGACTGCCAAGAATAGTTAAAATGGGAGAAATCTTACTCTCCCTTACACACACGCGCACACACTAGCTGTCTTTTTTGCATTCATTTCATGTCACACCAGCCGTCCCTTTCGCACTCGCAGAAACAAATTTTTTTCTTTCAACTTAGCTTTTAGGTTATGAAAACGGAAAAAAATGATTCTTTATGAATTCCGGGTTTGGCGCAGTAAATTAAATTGAGATAACTTAATAAACAATTAAGCATATAGAATATATTTTAAGCAAACTTCGTAGAACTAAAATTTCATTAATTTTAGAAAATAACTTACTCTGTGTGCTAATCGGCACGCCATCCCTATTCGAAAAGAGAAATATTTATGTAGCAAAAATATTTCTATTAAATTGAAATATATTTACTCACACATTCACAGTCACATTCGAATCTACAGCAGACTTTACACACGCTGATTTATTTTGGAATACGAAAATAATATAAAATATGTGTTAGCCAAACTACTGAGAAATAAAATTCAAATTTTAGGAAAACACTTACTCTTGCTATCATACACCAATCGGCAATCCGAATAACTTAAAAAAAAATTATATTGCAACGAACAATTTATAAATTGAAATATATTTACTCACACTTTCAAATTCACTTCAACATTAGACATGATTTTAATTTTGTCACTTTACTTATTTTTTAGAGAAAACCTTTGAGAAAACAATTTTTTTTTTTTTATTTCACTTAGAAACTTTAGACAATTTTCGTTGCTCTCGCTTGAACAAACTCAATGCGATAGAGGCAGGATGACGGGTGAAGCTCACTTATATAGTCGATGAAGCTGTCAATGGAGGATATGGTTGCCAGCCTATGAATCATATAAATCAGTATTCGATAAGCAGATTAACTACATACTCGGTTTAGTGTTGCCTAAGCACATGCAGCAGAATAGGAGCAACCATCACTAATTTCCAATTGGAGTACAATTAGAAAGCTTAACAACTAGAACTTGGTCTAGGAATTAGCCGTACTCAGCGTTTGAGGAATACTTAGGCACCATCGAGGCAGGCAACATATATGAATGGGTCGCACGTACCAGACTGCCTAATACTTGATCATTGTCTAACAGGATATATAGATATATATATATATATAGATGTACTATAGCTATAGGGCATAGACATGGACATTTGCAAGAGACAAGCTATAGAAATTGTAGTTGTTTCATGAATTACATTTAGTCAATCTTTAGCAAAATTCAACATTAACTTAATGAGACCCTGCCTTCGACACAAAAGTTGTTATAGCAAACTCTCAACTCTCTAGGATGCTTCAATTGGTGCTCTAAGACATACATACACATATCATATAGCTATCGCTTGCAGTCAGATCTTAAATAAAACATAATTTATATACTTTTTGGCTGCATAATAAATAAATTATAGTTAGTAAACTCCATTTGTTTTGGGTTTATTGCATTTGAACTGTCATCTGACAATCTGTATTTGTATATGTTGTTGTTGTTGTTTTTGCAAGTTGCACAGTCGCACAAAAAAACGAGTTAAATTGTATGCTAAACAGTTGGAGCTAAGCTAGATTGGCATTGTGCGGGACTTAGAGACCCGCTTGTAAGCCAAAGCCTGGGCCCTTTGGGTCCTCGATAAGCGAAGTGGGCTCGCCTTTGGGTTCGCTGGCGAAGCGTCCGTTGCGTGGTCCGGGCGGCGAGATCTTATCAGCTTTAAGGTCGTTCAGAATCTCTTGCATATCCTTGCCGGTCAGATCCTCCTGCAGCATGGAATGTGATATTAGTTTTAATCAAAATATATGGAAATATGTATTTTGAATTCATTTCCCCCTCACATAGTAATCATCGTTGATGGACACCATGGGCGCATTGACACAGGCGCCCAAGCATTCCACCTCGGAGATGGTGAACTTTTTGTCCTTTGTGGTTTCGCCGACGCCGATGCCCAGCTGTTTCTTGCACGTCTCCAGAATCTCGTCAGAGCCGCGCAGCCAGCAGGGCGTGGTGGTGCACACCTGAATATGATATTTGCCAGTTGGCTTGCGCATGAACATTGTGTAGAAGGTGGCCACCTCGTAGACGCGCATGTTGGGCAGACCCAATATCTCGGCCACCTTGTGCATGGCCGATATGGGCAGCCAGCCATACTGACGCTGTGCCAGATCGAGCAGTGGTATCATTGCGCCACGCTTATGACCCTCTGGATAGATGCTTAATATGGCTTCCACGCGTTTCTTGTTCTCGGCACTGAACTCAAAGGGTATGTTGGGATTATCCTCGGGTGTGTCGCGATGCACGAACAGATTGTCGCTGCGCTGGGCACTGCTGGTGGCAATGGCGCGCAGGCTGCCGCGCTGCAAATACAATATTGTTATTGTTTGTTGTGCAAAAAAATTACATAACTTGTCGCTAGTAATTGGCATTTGCATGCCAGTACTGACAGTGCGTTGCACAGCGAATTACTTACGACAGCGGCCAGCGTCTTTGCGGCACAATTCGATAGCATATTATGCACTTTTTAGCCAAATAATAAAGTAAAAAGTTGTATTAAATTGGAAGTGTCGGTGCCACAACCAGTGCCACAAACGATTTCGATTGCTTCGATCAGCTGGAGTTGCCAGTGTTGCTAAAGTATGGCATATCGTTACGTTAAGGAATCCAAGCAACTCACGATAATAATCGCATCAATAGCGATATATTTGTGGCGCAATATTTGAACACAGATAAATATGCGCTGCAATAATATAAATTATGCATATTATTTATATAAATATATATGCAAGCTAAATAACAACAACAATGGTATGCTCGCTATATATGTTTGATGTTTTTATTATTTCAATACACAATTTTTACTCAATTGCTAACTATTTTACGTGTTACGGATTCAGTTGTTCAATAATTCAATTTCTGTTAAATGCATGTTTTTGATATAAATACAGAAATGTTATACAATCACGCATTCTGCTCATAGTTTTCAGTTTTCATATCATTCAAGCCAAGCTCCTCGTTATCCTCAAAGCTGCGCTCGTATCTTTCCACAATGAGCTTAGCATCCGGCTCATCGTCGTCCGAAAGCGATTGCACATAGGTATTACCGGCTGGGTCCTCCAGCACGAGTGTGATTACATGCTCCAATTTGACAACCTTATCGAAGGTGGTTAGGAAGCGTTCCAGTTGCTGCCTGGATGGTTCATCGGCCGAATCGTGAAACAAGGTGCCATCCAGTTGTTCGCGCATGGCCACCAGCAGACCTTCGACTGTGGTAAACCGCCCGCAAAGGGCATTGGGACCCACGTCCAAGTCCAGCTCTGGTATCGATAAGCTGCACGTTTCCGACTTCAGCACATCGCGAGTGAGATCCTCTTTGCTTTCGATTCGCAACTTGAATCGCACTCCCTCCGGCTCAATGCCACCGCCAGACTTCACCTCGTTCGTCTTGTGGCCGCATTTCGAACAGACGGTGGCCATAATGACCACCTCCTTGAAGTGCGGTATATTGGTCAGCTTCATGTTCGTCTCGCACGGTGCATGACAGTCGGGGCAGTTCGTGCTGAACTGCAGCACCTCGCCATGCAGATTCTCAATTGGCCACGAGTCCTCGGCAATGGGCTTCAATAGATTCTGATCCTCGTGATTTTGCTCATAGAGGCCTGCAGGGAAGCGCATAAATGTATTTAATTAGTTGGATATGGGGCGACTTAAACGGGTTTGTCGACTCACCCAGCTGCTCGTTTTGAGCGGTAGACCGCGCAAAGTGGCTGGTTTTCAGCTGTGGATCGCTGGCGGGTGCCAAGGGATTCTCAATGAAACTGTTGCCCGAGATGTCCTCGAGCAGCACGCGGAAAGGTTTCTTCACTAGTTTTAGATCACGCAATCGATCGATGAAGGCATCGATGGACTCGGCCTCCGTGGGATGCTCAATTCGCCGTTTCTCCTGATCCTGCGACAAGCCCGTTATGGTGCGCTCAATGATGCCCTCAATGGTGGTCACCTCACCCTTTTGTGATTGCACGGGTATCTCCAGCTCCACTTCTGGTATGCTGATGCTGGAATTGTCAGATCGCACAACACGACGATTCAGATCCGCTTCCTTCTCCACTTTCAGTTCGATGCGTACTCCATGCTTTTGTATTTCGGACGCCGATTGCATTTCGCTGTTCGTGAACCCGCAGTGCTCACACTTGAAGGACATCAGCACCACCTCCCGGAAGAAGGGTATCTTCGTCGGCAGCAACCGAGTGGTGCCAGTCTT